CAGAGCCCATCTCTCACTGTTGTTGTTAGCTGCTGTTGAGTTGGCCCTTGACTCATGGTAACCCCATGTGTTACAGAGTAGAACTGCTCCACAGAGTTTTCTTTTTTTTTATTGTACTTCAGGTGACGGCTTACAGAACAAATAGTTTCTCATGAAACAGTAGTACACATATTGTTTTATGACATTCGTTAACAACCCTCACAGAGTTTTCTTGACTGTAATCTTTACAAAAGCAGTTTGCCAGGCCTTTCTTCCGTGGAGCTGCTGGGTGGGTTTGAACTGGCAACTTTTAGGTTAGCAGCTGATCACAAACCACTTGCGACACCCAGGCCCCTCCCACTAGAAAAACTGAAAATATCTTTTACCAGCCTCCATTGCAGCTTTGACATAATCTGAGCTCCTCCAATCAGACGTCCCCGTTCTTGACGGTGACTCAGAACCTGGAACGAGGAAGCTAAGGCCACACAGCATTCATTCTGGGAAAGATGGTGGCAGCTGTGACAGGAGCATGACCTCTAGCTTCAGAGGCAGCCGTGGTCCTGACGGCTGCACCATGGTCCATGCCCGGGGGATGGAGGTGGTGATTTTTTATTATTGTCATTTGTGGTAAACATATGTATAACAAGACATTTGCCTTTTCAATATTTGTTTACACGTACAATTCAGTGACATAAATTACATTCATCATGTTGTGAGGCCATCACCACTATCTGTTTTCATGGTGGTTTTGACACCAGAACAATGCTGCAGTGTTGAGCCTGCTTGGCTCCTGAGATCCTGAAAGCTTCCCACCTCCTTTTAGCAAAGCCCTTTTCTGCTTAAATTAGCCAGAGTGGGACTCTCTTTCTTGCAACTAAAAACCCTGACTGATATAACCAGTTGCCGTAGAGTCAATTCCAACTCACGGCGAAACCGTGTGTGTAGAGTAGAACTGTGCTCCGTAGGACTTTCAAGGCTGTGACCCTTCAGGAGAAGATTGCCTGGCCTTTCTTCTGAGTTGCTTCTGGGTGGGTTCAAACCACCAACCCTTCAGTTAGTAGTTGAGCACTTAACCGTTTGTGCTGCTCAGGTACTCCTAACTGAGATATTAGCCACAATTTACAGACGAGGAAATGAAAGCTCAGAGGGGTCTTCAGAAAGACTGTGTCTTGTCTACAGCTTAGGTGTAGGCTAGCCAGGCTTTTCCTGCCTGTTTTACAAATGGGAAAACAGAAGTCGAGAGAAAGCAATGACTTAACCCAGTATCTTTTAGGTAATTAGAAGCAAGACTGAGAGGACACTTCTTAGAAGCCCCCTGTCCCAGCCAACAGCTTGGCCCTCTGCAGGGCTCTGCTGTCCCTCTGTTAAAACCCTGCCATCCAAAGAAGGGGAGTCAGGAACAGGAGGAGGATATGGAACGTGTGGCTAATTGCCTCCATGAACAACTGCCTCCTTTGCCATGAGACCAGAGGAACTGGATGGTGCCCGGCTACCAATACTGAATGTTTTGATCGAAGATTCTATACAAGTATCGTAATCAAAAGGGGGAAAGGGGAACAGAATTTCAAAGTCTCAGGGAATCCAGACTTTCCAGATCCATTGAGGCTAGATGAACCCCTAAAACTATTGCCCTGAGATAATCTTTAAACCTTAAACTAAAAATATCCCCTGAAGTCTTCTTTAAACCAAACAATAGTTTGGTTTAATTAGTAAAGAATGTCTGCCTTAAGCATTGTGCTCTTATAAAGAACTATCTATAGGGGATCAAATCGACAACAGCAGCTGCAATGGTTTGATAAGAAGCTTAGGGGGCTGAGAGTTTGTTAATAATGGAATAATCTAGAAAAGGAGGGTGAGAATGGTTGCACAACTTGAAGAATGTACATGCATAAGTTGTTGAATTGGGGTATGCTCTGCTGTGTGTATTTTCAACAATGACGAAAATATATAAAACAAATTATTAAAAAAAAAACAATACCCTGTCATCCTGCCATCCAGCCTGTCCCCAAACATCAGGCTTCCTCCTCAGGGTGTTAACGATGAAGAGAACTCGGCAGCAGGGGGCGCTTCTCGGCCGCCTGACATGGCTGATTTCTCCAGAATGGGCCCATGCCCCCTTATACCTGCCTATCCCCTTTGCTTGAGGCAATGGCTCAGGGGGTTTCTTACAACTACATTCATCATCTATGAAGTCTTCACTTCTAGGGGTCTGCCAAGATTCCTCCTACAAATTCACAACTGACCCTCCCTCATGTTCATGTGGGGTTCATGAATTATCTGAGCTTAGCGGATTGTCTACATCAGTTCAAGACCATTCAGACGCCATTCTGCACACATACGGATGTGTGGTGTGTTGAAGTTCTTGTAGGCAGACTTTTATGCCCTCTGAGTGCCTGCATTCCTCCAAGGAATTCAGAACAGGCTTAGGCCTTGTGAATTATGTAAATAGAACATAAACATCAACAATTTTATTCAATGACTAGGTCTGAAATGGTTTTAAGGGCTAGGTTTCAGAAAAGTATGAAAGAGTCTCAAATGCAATAATAACAACCTCATCATCAATAATAATAGCAAAAAAAAAAGGTGGCCATTTATTGAATACTTAAACCGTGTGTCCCATACTACACTAATTGTTTTCTTTACTAAATCTGCCTTCTGAGTTTGGTATCATTCCAATTTCACAAAGTATGACACGGAGGCTCAGAAAGGGTAAGTAATTTGCCTGATATCACACAGCCAGGAAATAGTACAGCCAGCCCAAGCTCTTAAGGACTGGTTTTCCACCTATATATACATACAAAAAACCAAAACCAAACCTGCTGCTGTCGAGTCCATTCTGACTCATAGCAACCTTGTAGGACAGTGTAGAACCGCCCCATAGAGTTTCCAAGGAGCGCCTGGTAGATTTGAACCGCTGATCTTTTGGTTAGCAGACGTAGCTCTTAACCACTACACCACCAGTGTTTCCATATATATATGTACATATACATACACAGCCTTCTGGACCTTGGGGTTTACCCAGTCACCACTGCCCTCCAGCCTTGACAAAGGAGTGTCGTAGAGCTAAATCACTGAGCCTACTTAAAGTAAAAGCAAGGAGTTTTCTTGAGGGATAAAACAATTCGCCAGCTGGGAAACACAGGGTCAAGAGGTTCACAACACAGTGTTCTGTAGGGCAAGAGTGTAAGGGGTTTCTATCCGGTAGAGAGAACAAGTGTTCTGGTTACAATCAGGGCAACGTGGATTTACATATAGTTATAAGACAATAGCAAGTTCTACAAGGTTAGTTGATAGATTTCCTGGAGTTAATCCAGTAAGAAATTTTCTGCCTTGTATATATACGTTCATCACGCTGCGCAACCATTATTTCGAGATCCTCTGGAAAAACACTCCCTGACAAACATTTCTTTACAAACCATATTCTTGCTTCCTCCATTGTTGGGAGTGGTTAAAGTTGCATTATTTGTTAAAGTTTCCCCATTCTTCTCTAAAGCACAGTGGAAACTTAAGGAAATGACAGGCTGAGACTTATTCTAAAAATTAAAATGGAGTCTCACATTGGACAAGTGCAAAAAACCCCACAGAACTGCCCCATAGGGTTTCCGAGGAGTGGCTGGTGATTCAAACTGTTGACCTTTTGGTTAGCCACCAAACATTTAACCATTGTGCCACCAAGGCCCCTATTAATCAGTTATTAATTTTAGGTGCTCCTTTTCAGGAGGAAACCAAGAGCAGAGGTTTCCCTGAGGTGAGCCACAGAGCTGTTAGGAGAACCCAAGCTTGCCACCTCCCACAGTTTATACACTGCACCCCAAGTATATATGCTGTTTATACACGTGCCCCACCTGGGCACAATCTCCTCAGTGGGTTACTCCACAGGCCCAGCAGCTTCCACAGCAGCTTGGGAACCTCACCCCAAAGCAGTCCAGCTGGAAGGTGCAGTGATGGGGAAGGATGTTTGACCCGCCACCCTATCCTCATCCTGGACCTCCAACATGGCCTGGCTCAGCACATTCATTCTGCACCACAAGGGCTGGAATCCAGGAGGTGGGATAGAGAGCTCCCCACCCCAAGGTCACCGGCAGAGCCAAAGTAGAACCTGGGCCTCCAGACACTCAAGGCAGGGTTCTGCCCCTCCTTGCCTTGTCTCCTCTCAGGCTTTTTCTGACCAAATACATTTTTAGGGTCAACAGATTTCCATTCTCCCTCTCCACCCAGGGCCTTTGGGGTTCCCTTTTGAGGGTAGGGGTGGCAGATGGAAGCAACACAGGGCCAGATAGGGTGAGCAGAGGAAGACACCGACCTCCCAGTTCCTTTGCAATAACGTAGGGTGAATTGGCGGGAGCAGGGATCTCGCCACACTTTGGGCTGGACCCCCAGGGCTCAGCATATCTTTGCCAGGAGCCTGTCACTCCCGCAATAGTCCCCAAGAAAACCCTTAAACTCTGAAGACTAGGGGCCACGCCCCAAGGGCACCTGCACACCTGCTTCTTCGCAACCCCCTCCACCAGGGCTTTTTTCCAGCGGGTCCCTGGTGGCCGCGAGCGGGGCCGAACTGCGGGAACAAGAGGTGCGCGGTACGACGGGGAGGGCTGCCGCTTCCGGATGGGGTTCCCTTCTAGAGTCTAAACAAAGACTGAGGCGGAGGCCGCCCCCTCCCCCGGCACCCGACGCAGCGCGGCTAGAAGGGGACTGGAGGGACGGAAGGGGTCGCACACCGCACCTGGCGGAGGCCGAGCGGCGAGGACCCTTCCTCCCGGAGTCTAAGGAGGTGAGAAGCAGGCGTGGTCGGGGGTGGGGGAAGGATCGACCAGGGGTCTCGGTCAGGCCAGGGTGACGCCGCGTTCCACTCGCCCGCCCACCCACGCAAACCCAGGGCGCTCCAGCCGCTGCAGAAGGCGGAAGCAGCGCCTCGGGACCGCCCTCCGGGTCCAGCGGCCAGGCCCGGACCAGCGCCGCGGGCCAGCGACCTCTCCCCCGCCCCCGCGGGCACGCCCCCCGAGACGCCCCGCCCCACCCCTCGCTCGGCCTCCGCCCGGGGCAGCGGCGGGAACTGCGGAGGGGCTGCAGGCACTTGCACCCGCGCGCTGGCGGCCACGGCGCCCAGGCCCAGTTGCCCGCCTTCGTGTCTGTCTCGCTCAGATCACCCTAGGTGAGTGGCGGCCCTGGTCCCTGCAGCCCCCGACCCCCGCACCCCTACCTTTGTGGCTGCGGCGCGCGCCCCCAGACCTGCGAGCCGGGCGCCTTCTTGCGGGGGCACATGTCGCCTGCGCGAGGGAGGGGCGCACCCCACCCCCTGCTCTTGCTCCTCGCAGTGCCCGCCAGGCGGGAACTCCCGAGGCCACGGCCCTTTGCCATCCTCACGTCCCCCAGCCCGACGCCCGGGGCGGCGGAGCCTCTTTGTTCCGGCGGAGGCCCCCTCCCGCCGCCGCCTCCCGAATGTCACCCCCACCCACCCTGCGCGCTCTCTCCGCCTGCCGGAGTTCACCCTGACCAGGTGGCGGCGGGCGCCTTTTGGGGGTGCACGGCCGTGCAATTGGTGGATTTTTTAAAACCGTTTTGCCGGGGGAGCGCGGCGTAGGGGGCGGCGAGAGCGCTCCTGGCTCCCGGCGGCTCCTCCTGCCTAGCTCTCCTGCTGCTCCGAGCCTCCTGCGCTCCTCTCCCCGCCCGGTCGAGCGCGCTCCCCTGACGCCTCAGCCCCGAGCCGGGCAGCCCGGGCGCAGACATGAAGGTGCTGGGCCACAAGATCGAACTGCTCACAGGTACCACCGGCCCTTCCCCGCGGCCGGCCCTCCGCGCGGCCCTCGCCACCTGCCACTTCCCGAGTTGGAGCGCGTGCCGCGCGCGGGGGCTGGGGCTTGGGGCGTCTCGGGTTCCAGCAGGAGGAAGGGTTGCGCGTGCCAAATAACTCGCCTGGGAGCTACCAAGCCCTGTGCGGAGCCCCGCCCCGCCCGCCTCGCCCCTCTGAGCCTCTGTTGCCCGGTGTCCAGTTGGGCAGAGCGCGGGCGGCGGGAACGCGGATCAGGGGATCGACCCCCAGGGGTCACGACCAGCAGTGCTCGGCTCAGGTCTCCGAAAGGGAACTCGGAGTCTCAGCTATCTAATCAGCGTAGCTGTCCCCCAACAAAGGAGCTTCCTGGACTTCCAGAAGAACCGCTGCCGTGCGCCTCGCTTTCTGTTTCCTGGGGCAGTCTGGCCGCCTGTCCCTGTGGGGAGAAGTTTCTCTCTAGGAGTAGAGGCCAAGTGGCCTGGGAAGTGGGAAGCCAGATTGGATGCTGATGACTGGGGGGCCCTCAGCCTGGGACTCCTCGGAGAAGTGGCTGGATACTGGCCCCTGGAACCCATGCCCATGGAGCTGTGGCGGAGATCAGCAGAGGACACTGGGCTGTGCCTGGAAGAATCGGGAAAGGGAGCAAGGCAGGGATCTGAGGGAGAAGCTCTCCTGGGCATGAAGGCCAATTGCACAGGCAGCTCTGTCGGCTCTCTGAGCATAGACTTTGGAGAGACCCAGACAGCAGAAAGGGGGCAGAAAGGGAGACAGTCTGGTTCTCTGCCTCTTCTTACTGCAGATCCTTCCAGGCCTGGGACTGATAGGTGCTCCATCAGTGTGTATTGATTGAACACATGGACTCCCAGCAAATGCCCTCTGGCACCTGGGAGGGTTTGGTCCCTGTCCTGGAGGATCTTACTGTCTGGTGCAAGGGAACAGAGCACAGGAGTTGCGTTACAAGACAGGGGAGGGCACAGCAATCTGGGGCACCCAGGAAGCAGGTTGGAGGGTGAGTCAGGGGCCAGGAGGGGAGTAGAGAGGCTTTGAGCATGTGGCAGCGTTTGAGCTGGACCCTACAAAACAGAGTTTCTATTCACGGAGGACAAGGTGGCATTGCAGGCCAAAGGGCTGAGGGAGCAGCGTAAGGGCAGGTGCAGTGGTGTGGAGCCTGGGGTGCCTGAGGTGTGTGTGGGGGGGAGGGGGATTGGAATGAGGTCAAGATCGGAATTTGAGGCTGTGAGTGCAGGGTCTCAGAAGGGAAGGTGGAGTCTGTTCCTGGAGCACCCGAAACTCTGGCCAGGTGCTCCGACGTGCCACTGGTGGCATTTCTGAGCCCAGTTAGTCACAGGGTTGGGCACCTCCCAGGGTGCTTAGGGCAGGACCCCCCCTCCAATCCTTTGCTAACTTTTCCTTGCATGGCTCACTTGAGGCAGGCCAACCTCGCCTATGTCCAGGGGACCTGCATGGGCCACTGGACTTGTTATCCTCTGGAGGGGAAGATTTTACAGCTCCGTGGGTTTTTAGAGCCCTGCAGGGACAGAACTCCTGGGCCCTCTCTCTTCTTCCTGCCCCTGAAGGGCCTAGAACAGGAGTACTCACAGGAGTCATAGGGGCCTCCAGTGGGGGCCAGGCTTTGGGGGCCAATGTGGTGTGTCCTCATCTCCTGTATCCAGGGGTCAGGACGGGCTCCCCGAGTTCTGGCAGGCTTTCTGAGCCCCCAGCCAGGTTGGAACAGGACCGCCCCCCCACCATCACTGCTATTCACAGGTGCCCTATTGTACCTCCAGCTAGGCCATGGGGGACAATGTGTCCCTCAATCTCCATGTCAAGGTCTTTTCAGCCTCCCCTCTCTCTCCAGCCCACTCCTGCCCTTTCCTTGTCTCGCAGATCTGTGTTCAAATCCCTGCCCTGCCAGTTGCCTGCTCGGAGATTTCAGGCAGGTTACTTAACCTCTTTGACATCAGTTTACTTGTCTTAAAGATGGAACGGGTGTTTCCTCCCCCTGAGAACTGGTGTGAGGCTCCCTGAGATAGTGCAGGAGGCACGCCTGGTCAGCGCCTGGGCCCTGGTGGGCACCTCACAGGCTTAGGCCGCCCTCTGGTTCTTGATCTTGGTTGTCCCTGTGATGGGGAACTCCACCTGCCCTGCCTGGCTGGCCACCAGGGAGTTTGCATCTGCCCTCAGCCCAATTTATCCTGCTTTCTGAGATTTTTTAAACCCATTAGCTGCATGTGGCAGTCTGCTTCTTTAAAGATTACAGCCTAGGAAACCCTATGGGGCAGTTCTACTCTGTCCTATAGGGTCGCTGTGAGTTGGAATCAACTTGATGGCAATGCATTTGGTTGGTTTTGGTTTGGTGGCTCAGTGGTTAAGTGCTCAGCTGCCTACTGAAAGGTCAGCAGTTCGAACTCACCAGCTGCTTCACGGGAGAAAGATGTGGCAGTCTGCTCTGGTAAAGATCACAGTCTTGGGGAACGGAATTTCAAATTCTCATAGACTCTAGACATTGTGGAGCCATAGAGGCTGGATGAACCCCTGAAACTATTTCCCTGAGATCATCTTTAAACCTTAAGCCAAAAATATCCTCTAAAGTCATCTTAAAACTGAACAATAGTTTAGCTTAACTAGTAGAAAGGTCTGCCTTGAGTTATGCTCTTTTTTTTTAATTGGTGTACTTTAAGTGAAAGTTTACAATTCAGGTTAGTCTCTTACACAAAAATTTGCATTATGCTCTTTTAAGAACAGCAACTCCAAAGATTAGATAGGAACCTTAGGGGGCAGGAAGTTTATGTTAATGAGGGAGGAACAACTCAGAGAAGGACGGTGAGAATGGTTGCATAACTTAAAGAGTGTAATCTATGTCATTAAATGGTGCATGTAGAAACTGTTGAATTGGTGTATATGTTTTGCTGTGTATATTCCCAGCAACAACAAAATAAATAAAATTTAGGAAAAATAAAAATTACAGCCTTGGAAACCCTACAGGGCAGTTCTACTCTGTCGCTGTGAGTTGGAATTGGAGATGATGAGCAGATCACAGTCAGGAGTGGGAGCCAGTTTACTGTGGTGGCATACAGCAAGTGCTCAATAATTGTTGACTGAGTCCAGCCTCACATAGCCACGCGTCCAGGATAGTTTCATAGAGGCCTCTAACTCCCTGCCCTCACATCAGCGTTAGGGCATTGTCCCACTGAACCATTTTTTTTTAAATTCAGATTTATTTAGTTGCTTACAGTTTTCACGTCTTCCATTTTATTATCATTCCCATTTTATCAATGGGTTCGGTCGATTCCTGAAGTCCATACTGCTGGCAAGAGGTGGAGCCAGACGGAGTCTTCAGGTTGTGTTCTAACTGCCTGATTTGGGGCCAGTCCCTTTGCTACTCCACACTTCGGTCTCCTCATCTGTAAAATGGAATAGTCGTGGTGCCTACCTGGTCAGGCTCTTCAGTGGATTAGATGAGAGAGTGTGTGTGAAGCGTGAGTACAGCGTCTGTTAGGCAAACAAGAAATGGCAGTCATAGGGCTGTTGTCCCTGAGCTGCCTGCTGAATGTCCTGGAGTCTCCCCAGCCTCCCTGTGCTCTGGTCACTCCATTCCCTACCTCTGGGATGTCCTACTTCCTTCCTGGGTTCTCTGTACATTCCAGGCCTCTCTGAGATGTGTTTCTGGGGGAGCCTCAGGTTCCCGTCATACGGTACAGGGTGGGGCACAGCATCTGTGATTGGGCCCCCTGGCCGGACGTCTATTGGGAAAGCCAGGTGCCCAGGCCTGGTGTGTCCTTTTTTTCCAGGGGAGGAGAGGGGTGGCACAGGACGTTCCGGGAGGTGTCGCTGGTAACTAATGCTGATCTCAGCCGGAAGTTGTCAGATGCCCTCATGTTGTCTTCTAGCAGCAGGGGCAAGAAGGGCAGGGATTTTGGAATCGGTATAGGAATTTTGGGTCTCATCTGATTGAGCTTCTGGGCAAGTTCATAACTCCTCTGAGCCTCAGTCTTCTCATCAGTAAAGTGCGAATAACAGTCCTACTGTATTAGCATTGTGGGAAAGAGCTGAGCTGATACCGAAGGAGCGCAGTACACTGTTAGCCTGCACACAAGCTCATTACAGTTCTCAGGGGCGAGCTCTTGGTGTCCTTTGTAGGTGGGTTTTTTTTTAAAGTGTGATGTGGGAAAGTGGGACATTGGTCTGTTTTCAAGTAGGCAGGTGATTGTTTTCGTGCATTTGTACCCAAACGATATGTTTCCAAGATGGTTTGGAGTCAGAAAGAGCTCTGTAATGGCAAATTTGGTTCTCTGAAATGGTCCCTTGGGAGCCTCGATAGTGGATCTTGGAAATTTTTAAAAAATTATTTGATTAAAAAGCAAAACTTTTTTTCAGTTCTG